AATCTGTGAACGAGCTACCAATCTTTATTATGGCAAGTAGAGTGGATAGTATTGGTAGCACGACAATTTGTTCAGATGATATTATTATCATTCAAATAATTAGAAAAAAATGAACGCAGCAACGGATTTGTGTGAGCTCTCTTTAAATCAACATTATTATATCTGATTTGAATTTTCATATTTTTTGGACCGCCTGCAACCTTGCGTTTATTCCAAGGCTATTGGAGTCGACACATACGACCGATTCCCGCAAATCCTGCCGAAGATTCATCACTATGAATATTTTCCATTTCCCTCTAAATCAAGTTGAGGCATGAGAATTTTCAGAAAGTATTGAAGTGAAAACGTGTAAATAGTTTAAAAACGTGTCCTTAAAAAATTGTCGTGTGATACTTTGTGAGTGCATCTTAGATTTTCCTTCAGTGAGCTGCCAACTCCAGGAAGGGCAAGTAAATGTATATACGCCCTAACCGTTGGACCGAATGTGGATTTTGTCTGCATGAACGTAAAATGAGTACAAACGCTTAACATATATAAATTTGAAGTCTTTGTGAATTTCATGTTCAAGATAATCAATGAGTGTTTCCTCCATAATACCGTACTCTATGAATTCACATGTGTTTTTGAAGCTTATCCATTTAAATTTTTTCATGCTTTTCATGCTACAGGGCACAATTACTGTAGGTATGTTGTTAGTACTGCAGTTGACCCAACAGTGGTCGCGCGTTAAAAAAAACTAACGAGATTGGCCGCGCGGCAAACAGGTGCATGCCCTTTGTAAATTGAGATAAAATATATGAGCACCCATCATAGTTTTTTTGAGTAAGAATCTTATCCATAAAGTTCCTTCTGTTATATATAAGTAGCACACAGTCACACACTAATTACAACCTCTGAGTTTAAAAAGTAATAGTAAAAACATTAACGCTGAAAAGCACCAGCATTCACTAATATTGCCGTAAATAGTACAAATATTGCGCTAAATTTTGAGCAGACTGCTTGGCGTTCATTTTTATCCGAAAAGTAAAATAATTATGAACGTTTTGCTATTTCAGCAGCCACCAGCAGTCAAATAATTACATTTAGAGTTTGAAATCAGAGCTAATAACGCACTAATGAAATAAACTATCATGTCCAAAGTTTGTTTACGCGACATAGGTAATTGGTCGCGCGGCATACATATAGCATGTAATCCACTGGCTTTGAGGAGCTTCTGTAACCACATGTAACTGACACTCACGTGGCTTGATTTTGTACGCGTTTGATGAACATTCTATTGAAAGTACCTGGAAGCGCTCGGAAATAACGCTTGTAGTTTTGAAAAAAGTCGCGATTTCATACGCATAGATTAGTACATGTATAATGCGCGCGACTACTGCAGGGTTAATGTGTCGGTTTTCCCTGCTCGGTGAGGAGAAAAGAAGCCGCACAACGCAGAAAAGCTCTGGGTCTTTTTTCTCTGCAGCCTGACTCCGCACATCTAAACGCTGCTAGCCAGCTTGCATACTTTAGTAAAAAAAAATAAAACTCCGTTGCTTTGCCTCCTCATTTGCAACGCCCCGATTTATTAGCTTAATTTAGTATTAATAGAGTTTGCAGGGCGTCTGGCACCGCTAAATGACCTCTGTACGCAAGGTCATCGATGAAGCTTCCTTCCTCAATACCGCTACCTACGATCGCTGCATCTCACAGCCACGTCCGGGACTGTGCCCGCTATTCCCTATCGTATGACTGTTGTCGATTCGAGCGTTTGTAAATTTTGCTCAAATCACGGGGGTTACTTGCGGCATTAAGTCAATAAACAGAATTTGGACTTGGCGGCCAAAGCTAGTGACTTAGTAATGTTTGTAATACTTACGAACTTGTTCCTATAACCTTTTAATGTCACCGTGACAAGAGTCGGCTTCGTGGCGCCAAGGTGGCGGATCCTCGAACGCCGCACCAATGATGAGAACTTCTACGTCATTCTTAACTAGACTTTCACTTCTGCGCTTAAAAGGTTCAGTTTGAAGCCTGAATGTTGATTGTATATTGGATTTACTTTGTCGATTTCTGAGAATCATGTCCCTGGAATTGGTGGATTAAAACGTGTCCGCGTTTAGTGTGTGGTCGGGGCGAGCTGCCTGCAGTCTCTAGAACTTGCTCGGGCAGATAGTCTTCGGAGAATTAGTGCTGCTGCAGTTTGCGGCACTATTAATGGCTTGCATCAGAGACGAGTACCATATATAGCTTATTTTCCTGTTACGCCTATAATCATTAGGGCAAAAACTTGGTTGTTCCTTCCTAGGATTTAGAGAGTTAATCAGCCTGTGTACTGCCTGCATGTAGGAATGTGCCCCAGGACAAATGATCGGCTAATGTTTAATGAATATAGTTGAGCATGTAATTCTCATACACAACGAATGAAGTAGCAATGTTTAAAACCGCAACATTTTCTCAAAGAGTTGAATCCTTCCTGCAAGTTACCTTAGCCAAGCGGCTTCTTCATCTATGTCTCTTGATATGTGCATTTATTGAGTTTCTTCATTATTTGTAAAAATGCTTGCATTTGGTGTACGTATCTTGCCATTTCAAGCGCATCTAACTCTCTTTATTCATATTAGTGCCGTTCCATTGTTTTATATTGTATTTCTCGAGTGTATGAAATTCTGTCGTCTCCAACGTGCATAACCTAAATATTATTTATAAAGTCTGTGCACGACTTATATTGATGTGCTCGTTAAGACGCGTTGACACAACTTTCAAAATTATTCGAGCCCTCAGTTCAGGGTCATCTCTTGGCTGAAACGAATGGCAATTTCAGGAAATCTTAAATTAATGATAAGCGAGAACGCGTCATGCGCTCATCGCTACCCAGGCTCCTTCCAAGAACGTTACATTTCTTGATCAACCTCTTCTTAGCACAAGTTGGCGTTCAGCCGTTGATGCAGCGTTGGTGGGCTGAGTCTGACTGTCTGTCTGTGTCTGACTCTGACAGACTGACAGTTGCTCGGCGGCAGCGCCGGAGTGCGGAGTGTTTGGTGTGCCGTGCAAAAAGACAGAACATCACTTGCTATTTAAAATACAGCCGGAATACCCTTGAAACAGCAGCGCCTGACTTTCAGGTGTTACTGGGTCGCTTCTTGCTTGCCTCACTTTATCGCTGCAACATTGATGCAATTTATTGTGAATTACACGATTCATTCACTTAACAGTTCGAACTGATACCGTGTTTTTTATATCAGTATTTTATCCGTTGTCTCACTAGGATGATTCTTGCTAGTATCACTTATCAGGCTGTTAGGTAGGATACGAATAGCATTGTCGACTGTTGATGTCTTCACAATCTAAAGAGTTGATATTTTGTCTATGGACGGTAACTCTCGTCACTCGTGGCCTTTAGTTACGAATATCATTGCCAAATATCATATCATTATCGAATGTCAGTGTCAAAGCTGCAATGGAGTCAATGTCAATGTTGAATTCGTCCATACGGATTTGAGATATTCGTACACACTGCAGAAACATTTATTTATTTCGACTTTTATGGTGCGTAAATTGAGTTATGCTAATCGGGTAGTATAGCCGCTATAGCGGACCAAATTGCGTTCCATTCTGCATGATTTGTCTAAGAATTAGATCACAACATTCCTTATAGACGTTTATGACACTTATATATCCAACCGTCTTGCGTGTAAAATGTACACTATTTTAGACTAGTCGCGGTAAATTGGTATGTTATTCAAATTGAAAGTGCTTAATTCAACTGGAACCAAAATCAACGACTTGAAAGCGGTGAGATTACATTTTTTTCGTTGGAATCTGATCGAAATATTCGCCACGAATATCAATCGAAAGTAATTCATGCTACTCGTTCTGTTGTTACTCAGCGCGCAAGAAGAGCAGGGACGCGTCTGAATATCCTGTCGCCGACCTTCGTCCATAGGGAGTTTTGGTGTAGTGCACAAGTTACTCCTGGGTATATTGGTGTAGTGTACAAGTTACAAGTCTACGGTAGTTTACCGTAGAAAATAGTTTTGTTTGTGCTGGAATCTCTTGCCTTTTGATCATTTTGGGTCCATGGGTTATAGTGTTACGTCCCTTCACAATTTGACTGCATTTGCGCTTGTCATGGTTCACCAACGTTGCCACATTTCACCTCCTGCGCGAGTGCGGCGCAAGCCTCGCAGCGAGGATGGAAACTGGTCAGTAATTGTCACTGAATTATTTGTCGTTTCCAATGTCTCAGACTTCGCTATAGCGTACAAGTTTTGAAGAGTTAACGAATTTATCGTAAGTAGCCGAAAAATAAAACTCGTTCAAAAGCGAAATTTACTAAAGGTGGTGGCTCAGTTGTGTAAAACACGACCATTAAAATACACCCGGTGGCACATACATGTATATGTACCACACTACCACTGCCTATTCAGCGTGTAGAAGAAATCGTTAGCGATCGGCAAATGATTCTCCTTTATGTGATATACCTGCTGTGATACTGTGCATTGTTCAGATTATCTATAAGGCCTATGAGTAATTATTGATAATTTACCATATTCAATTCATATGATGAGTTATATGCAGGATAATTATAAAGTTTTACGCATCGAAATTCAGACCGTACCGTTTTCGCTTTCCAATGGAGTGTTGAACTAAGATGCCTGGTCTAAGTTAGGTGATGCATCCAGAGCACAGCTGTGGTCTTCAGTGCACAGGTGCTCCCTGAGTTATGCGTTTATTGACCCATTTATGTACTCGTACAGTATTGGAGTCGGCGATGCAAATGGACGGATTTGTCTACGACACTTTTTCATGAGAAGCTTGAATTTGTGAGAGAATAGCTCAACTTGATTTATTTTCTTTTTCAGATATTTTTGGGTAACTCAAACATTTTGAGGTGCTTACTGTTCGAATGCAATGCAAGAGTTGTTCATGCTTCTTTAAAACTATACTTTAATGCTCATGGAGGCAAAGTTTCTGTGTGGGTGGTGTTTTAAGAATACATGATATTAGTTTGAATTATTTAACGGTGTATTAATTCCACGTGCGCCTGCTATAGCACCATGGCTCAGCGTAAAGAATCCGTAATCGAAAAGCCTCCTTCAAAATGTTTCATCTGCTCAAGCATCCATAAGAAGATTTGCAAGAAACCGACAAAGAGCAAGAAGGTTAAAGACATCCGACTGGAGCTACCGCCGTACACTCGTTACGAGCGTGCAAGAAGCCAAGGCAGCGAAAACCAACGTTGCGATCACCGAAATTCCAGTGCACACCGCACATCAAGCGACGCTAGTCACTCTGGTCGTAGTCTTAGTCGTCGTGAAGACAGCCTGGGTATTGTCTCACGAGCCATCATTAGTGGTATTAATGTAATTAAGCAACAATTTTCTCTAAGAATAACTGCTAGTAATTTTGTTCGTCGTAATGATGACCCCGAATGTAGGGGGAAACTCAAAACTAAGTCACGCATCGATCACTGCAAGTGTGATGGCAACAACTCGAGGTCTTGTGTCAAGAAAAACAATTCAGAGCGACGACGTTCCCACAGCAGGTCTCGACAAATCCTTCAAACGTCGCATGTCAATAACTATGAGGAACATCGCTGCCCTCGTTCCCGCGTTCGCAATCGTCGTGCACTGAACACAAGACAGCTTTACAGTGCTGACTGCGACCGTGGCGCTGCTTCTCGTCGCCGCGTCCAGCAGTTGTCGCAAGTTGGCGAAGCAAAGCCGAATCTCCTAACTCGTGCTGTCTTCACCGCCTCGCGCTTTCTACCACGTTCTCGTCGAACCGCTGCTGAACTTCTTGTATTTTGTCTTCCCAAGCCTATTGAGTCAGTTTATCTCTTTCTATGAGCTGTTTTTTTGTTAATATTCTTAACACACAATCGTTGATTCATCCCAATCGCCATCGACATTGAAAGTAGAAGTTAACGTTTTATTTGATAAAAAAAATATCAATGTGAAGTGACATCTTTCCGTCGAGGATTGCTCATTAATTTTGATAGTACTTGACATTCATTTGACCTGCTCTCCTCATTTTTGTACATATATAAGTGCTAACATATATATAATGTTATTGTCATACCCTTTCGTATTGTAATTTCGTGTTTAACTGTGACCAAATCACCTCCGTTTTGCTTTACAAAGCCTGATCGGAGCTATGCGACTGAACTGATTGTTTTTTTTCCACAGCATCCTGGGGAGTCGCGATGGGATCACCATCAGCGTGTGGAACAAACGCAAGCTGCAGAAGAAAGGCTCAAACAACGCGTTCCTGGGCAGCGTCCTGCTCACCCCCACGCTCGTCAACCAGCTCAAGGATACCGGCTGTGAGTCCTTCACCTTATCTCTGCTATTACTATTATCTGAATTACTATACTCTAAATTACCATACTCGTTACTATCTATGAAGATTTTAGTATTCCACTTAGCTTGTTGCTTGCTTATGAATAATTTGTGTAAACTTGTTGCTTAATTCGCAATGAGGAAGCCCGTACTTCATTTGTTTGTAAGATATTGAGAGTGTGATGAAACTTATACTCTCAATGCTTAATTTAAAAAATTATTTGCATTGTTCCACCCTTATTTTTCCCGTCATCAGGTTTTTAGGTACCAGTAGCCTTGACTGTGTTTTGTATCCATAAGACCAATGGTTAATAAAGCCATTAATACTACAGATCAACGGCTGGAGCTGGGACGTGATAGCAGCAACCTTCCTGACGACCCTGCGACGGGAGGAGGTGACGTGCGAGGACAGCTCATCGTCTCTCTCATGACGAGGGACAACAGGAGTGGCTCGTCCTCTGCTGCTGCTGCTGCCCTGGCCATCACCAACCCTCTCATCAGAGGGCCCGACGACCTGCCTGAGGTAATATACACTCACCTGCCTACCTAAGAATGTTTAAATTTATTTTATTCATGTGGGGGAAATTAATCATACTCATTCTTTAACTAGAAATCTATTTGAAAGTAACTTGTGCTTCAAAATCTGCCTCTGAAATAAGTTCACAATAATAATATTCATAACTCATTAAGGGTCTTTGTTGGAAATTAAGGATAGTAATGGTTACTGTAAAAATTGATTTTTGGTTTCAGTCAAAATTATTTATTGACTCCAAATATACGTTTCATAACTCAAATGTATCAGTTTCTAAGAATAATTATGATAATTTACCGTAGTGTGTAGGCAAGGTGTGTGTGATTACTGTTACGTGTTTACGTATAATGATCAAATTCAAATATAACTACTATATTGTCAATAGTATGTCAATGTAAGGCCAGCAAGCCTTCAGTTGTATACCAGATTCCACCGAATACATTTCCCGAAATCTCTTGTCTGGTCTCTGCCCATCTTCCTGCATAGCTGGGACTCTGAAGTTATACGTCCAGCGAACGTAACAATTGCCATACTGGAAGCGGAAACTTGGGAATGGAGTGTGTGATTATTGGCCCCATTTTTGATGTATCACTTTTATAGGGTAGTTTTATTATTTTTTTATCACCGGCTCGCTGACACACCAGAAGCATTTTCTTACACCACACATTACACGGGCAGGGTTGGGAGGAGCGGCGCACCGCAGCGGGGCGCGTGTACTACGTGGACCACAACAACCGCACCACGCACTGGGAGCGCCCCAGACCCACAGCCTCCACATCACAGCAGTAAGCGGCGCACACAGCTCCGCTAATGCGGGCCTACATAACTAGTAGCTTTGTTATAATAGTGCAGACTGGACCACAGCCTCCACATCGCAGCAGTAAGCGGCCCACACAGCTCCGCTAATGCGGGCCTACATAACTAGTAGCTTTGTTATAATAGTGCAGGCTGCAATTTCAGTTTTAACTGTGTCAACCTGCTCCTGTAATTTTTATAATTTTTTACATGTATTATGTGGGTCTTCTCTACTTTCTGGATATGGTACTTGGGTAAAGAGCGTCGTGTGTGTTGACCTTTTTCTACTCTCATGGCCTAGTAATTTCCAATGGTTGACACGTTTCTGATGATTAACATTTACTTCTGTTAATTTTCACCCTGTTTTCGACTAATTTTCCTTTGTACTCAGTTTACTCCTTCTAATCTTTCATTCTTACTTACTCTGAACTTTTTCCTGTGTTGCTTAATTTAATGTTTAATCAGTGTGCAATTCCCCATTGGGTTGTAAGACTAGTGAGTTATAGTTTGATCTGAACTGTAAAGCGCCTGACCTATTTCTGCTTTAATGGCCTTGTAACTGAAATGTTTCTGATGATTAACCTTTATGCATGTTAAATTTCACCCTGTTTTCGACTATTTATCTTTGTGCTCAGTTCAATTCTTCTAAACTTTTATTTTTACTTCATCAGAACTTTTTCCTGGGTGGCTTAATTTAATGTTTAATCAGTGTGCAATTCCCCATTGGGTTGTAAGACTTAGTGAGTTATAGTTTGATCTGAACTGTAGAGCGCCCTTTCAGTATCCTGCAATCTTTAATTTTCTTCGCTTCAATTTGTGATTGTGTAAAGCACCTATTACCTACACTGACCAAACTTACCAGGGATAGAAAACCTCAAAGTTTTGTGCCAGGCTTCCAAAAAAGTTTTGAGCGTCCGATCAAGATTATCGTTTAAAATTTCTGTTCTGACTTTGGTTTGTCGCTGCGCTAATAGATTTATTCGATTTTCTGTTGACCTGAGTGGCTTGAAAGTAGCTAGCTTCATGTTAAACAAGACAAAAAGGTAATTTTTAATCACCAGTAATTTGAAGGCTCATGTCTAAATTTATAGCATAAATGTATTTTGTGCAACAATACTATTTATTGTTTGCAATCTTTTTATTTTATTAGGATCACCTCTTGAAATTAAATATGTTACTTTACTCTTCCATTTCGTCTCATTTTTCCCTCTTCTTTTTGTCCGCTTTATTATAGTTTATTTAAACTTCCCTCTAGCTGCACGTTAACATGTATCTCTTGCATTAATATAGCGTGGCATGATGTGCAGAGCTAGCAGCTCGTCGAGCCCCAGTCGCCACTCGACGTGCTTCGCTGGTAACATCGTCCTGACCAACCCTGCCGCGGCGCTGGCGTGCGGGGAGACTTCGTCCCTTGCTGCCGACGAGCCAAACGCGTCCACGCCCGAGAAAACCCCTGTTAGGAGGTCGGTTTTATGCATACAAAATTTGCATTTTTTATGTAGATTTTATGCCTACAAAATTGACCTTTTTATGGTAATTTTATGCCTACAAAATTGAGCACAGCACGTCTCAGGAACGTGGACTTCATTGAGTATTTATTACCATTTAATCACGAATACGTTGCCCCCCGTCGTGAATAGTATAGGTATCATCCGTCTTCAATGGTATAGGTATCTGAAGGACTGGGATCTCTAATTCCGCCAGTGGACATGACGTTAATTATTTTGCTACGTTAACCGTCGTAAATGCCATCAGTATCTTGAGTAACGGTGACTTGAAATACCTTCAGTAGACAAAAGTTCACTCTTCATCTGCAGGTCCGTTAACCGTTGCTCTTGCTATCAGGTTCTAAGGTCCCATTAACGCTAGTTTATGTAAGTATGAATACAAAAGGCTAAATTTTAATGATTTCGAGTTAAGCACAACTGTGCTTTGAATTCGTCTCTATTATTTCTTGAGGAAAATTTTGCACGCATGATCGCTGAATGATTCAAAAGAAACGTTTGCAGTGAATATTTTTTAGGAACCCTACACGCCTAAAATTTGTAATTCAAGTTTTGAATCGTAATCTTATCGTGACTTTCAAACTCAATGTCTGCTATTAAACTCGGTTTATCTAAAATTTATGTCTTCACTCAGTGAATCTTACCAATAAATATTGGCTTTTGACTTTGAATAAATCTGTTAACTAATTTGTAAAATTTCGCTGGATTGCCTTATATTTTAAATTTTTGTGCCACATAACTTGTTTATACGTCTCCAGTGCACGTACGAGTCCCTATTTCTGCATTTTGATGATGTGCAATTTCTCGTCGCCAGGGCTCGCAGCGAGACGATGAGTGGCAGCAACGGTGGCGGTGATCGCAGGAGTGCCCTGGTGCTGCCCCTCACCCCCAGCCACTCCTCAGGATCCCATCACTCCTCCCCCAACACCCCACACGGGGATGGCGGAGGCTCCTCATCTCAGCAGCGTCGTCGCTCTGCCCGCCATAGGAATTACCTCACCAGGAACAGACTGCACGACCAGCCTGGTGATCTGCCCGCGCACTATGGTGAGACGCTACCGTTGGGCCAGGTTTTTTAGCACATTTTCTCATTTATGGAAAAAAGCGCTATTGTGCTCGTCATGTCCGTCCAGCCGTCCGTTTGTCCATGACTTCACATTTTTGTCGACGAGAAAATTCGTTCTCTGTCACTCACTGCAGTGAGTACTGAGTTATATTTTTTTCAGTGCCAAGGTGATGCTGTTCTTTGCTAAATCAAAGTGATTGTCTTTCTTATTATTTTAACGTGGTATTCTTCATTATTTTCCGGAGATGTTCAGCAGGTATTTTATTTGTCTTATTATATTTACTGTTACCAGAAATGAACAGATCCTTATCATGTCCAGTGTACTCTTTCAACAAGGAAAATTGCGATTGTATTTCTCATATATGCTAAATACAGTACTCCTAAAGTAACGATGATATTGCAGAGCTTCGCACCACTTCCCAGGGCCAAGTTTACTACTTCAACACCGAGTCAGGCGTGTCAACGTGGCATGATCCCAGAATACCCCGGGACCTGGGCCCGCTGGAGGATAGCGAGCTGGGGCCTCTTCCTACGGGCTGGGAGTTGAGGTTCACAGCATCAGGACGACCGTACTTCCTGAACCATGTTAAGCGCACCACACAGTTTACAGATCCTCGGCTCTCCAACAGAAACGTCCTCAACAACATACTCAGGTGATTGCTCTCAAGTAGTGAAGATAATTACCCACTCCTTAATTTTTTTGTTTATACTAGCTTCGTGTCTTTTGTGTAACGGATGTTTGTAAAATTATTTATTTCAATATTTGAGTTTCATTTCAATTGAAAATTGTTCAATTGACAATTGTACTATGTTGTGTAGTGACATTTTGGATTAAAAAATAATTGCATGGCACATTCTCACAGGAACCGCGAGAGCACTCTAGGCTCAAGTCAGGAGTCGACCTCGACCGTCATCACCAACATGTTATCGGCTGTCACGAGCACACAGCCCGTCACAGTCACCAGCAGCACCAACAACACTAACAATAATTTGGGACCAAATGATACTCGTAGCGGTAGTAGCAGTAGTAATAGCAGCACAACCACCACAACTACAAGTAGCAACCATACCGTCGCTACTGTTGCTGGTATACCTACAAGTGATGACACTCTGAATATTGAAAATGTAGATCCTATGGAGGTTCTCATTGACTCGCTGTCGCGTTCTAGGCTGGCCAACGGCTCGACGAGTCCACACAGCAGAGTGTCTCCGCCTGCTGATCTTGCCGCAGCGCCTAGTGAACCCGTTCCTAACGATAATAGTGTTACTCATAGAACAAGTAGTAGTAATAGTAATAATAGTCCTAGCGATCATACATCTCCAACATCATCTCCAAATGCTGCGTCTGAAGTAGTTTCTATAGAACCTGTAGTGTCATCGCCTCTGCCAGCTGCCTTAACCACAACTAATCCTATAGCTACAACTGTCACCACTTCGACTCCTACAACCGTCCCTTTGCCAAGTACCATCACGTCCACCGCCCCTACCAGCGCATCGAGAACTCCCATACGTCGAGTGCCACCATTGCCATCCTCGTCAAGCGCTTCCTCAGCTCCTAATCCTAACAGCAACAAAGATCCTGCCCCTCCTACTGATGGGGAAGGCCATGACTGCCCGCCCAAGTATACCCGCGACCTGGTCGCCAAACTCAACGTGCTTCGTGCGCAGCTTTCTTGTCAAGTCAGTTTGTGTTCATGTCTTGCATATTTTAATGGTTGATTATTATCACGTTGAAATTCCACACAAAATTGAATTGGCTTGAATTGATCATCTTGTGCCTCGGTGAATATTTATTGATAGAGATACTGTCTCAATTTATGTATGTTAATATTAAATCTTGACGTAATATTTGTCCAAGCTCTAGGGAATTATGATTCAAAAATTGAAATTTGATTTTGTTTGGGATTGATTTTGAATTACTCATTGATTGATTTTATTGTGCTGGTATTCCTTGACGACAATTTTTGTTTATATTAGTACCCAGTCTCCAAAGGGAACTGAAACCCTCAGCGTGCGAACCGTAGCAAAGTATGTGATTAAGAACACCATTTTTCATATTTGGACGTACAAGAAACTTCCACAATGCTGCGTTGTAAGATTTGCTTCAAGCTCAATCAACACAATTATTCTAGCTGTTCTATTATATTTTTATGAATTTAATGTATTTTTTTAATACGTCTTTTTTGTCGAAATATTCATAATCCAGAACAGGATATAGTTATGGCTTTTGATATCTATTAATAAAATTTGGATTGCAATTTGTGCAGGTACCTCAGAGCGGTCACTGTCGTCTGGACATCCCCCGCACCGAGGTGTTCGAAGAGTCGTTCCGCCAGATTAGCAAATTACGGCCAAAGGACCTCAAGAAGAGACTCATGGTTAAATTCCGTGGGGAGGAAGGGCTGGATTACGGAGGCATTGCGCGAGAGTGGCTGTATCTGCTGAGTCATGAAATGCTCAACCCATACTACGGTCTGTTCCAGTACTCCAGGGATGATATTTACACTCTTCAGATCAACCCTGACTCCAATGTGAACCCAGTAAGTGGGGATTGCCTATTCATTGTTTTTTTTCTGTGTTTAACCTATGCTGCTGTTGAACATAATTCCTGAACATTTCTGTCCTACTAGGTATGCTATTTTTTACTATTTTTTTGTATTTATTGTAATATTTCAAAGTAAACTTAAATTTTATTTCGAATTGTTCACGCTCCTGATTTCCGAATTTGATTGCAGGAGCACTTGGCGTATTTTTATTTCGTTGGCCGCGTCATTGGACTGGCCGTGTTCCATGGTCACTATATCGACGGCGGCTTCGCGATGCCTTTCTACAAGATGCTGCTGAACAAGCCTATCGTCCTTGAAGACATAGAGGCTGTTGATCCTGATCTCTACAGCTCACTCAACTGGATGCTGTGCGTTGTAGTTTTCACTTTCATTGCGTGTTTTTTTATCTTTTATCACAGTTGCAGTTTCATTTTACTTTTGATTGCTTCAAAGCTAAAGGTTTCATGCTCGACTCCTAAAATCGCGACGCAAAAACTTGTTATTTAGATATAATAATTGCTTCTCTGGATTGTTAATATTTCTGTATTGAGCACATTCAGCCCACGCTGAAATATTTGTCTGATCTTCAAGTGCATAGTTCCTATTAAAAATAATTGTGTTTTTGACTACCTACACCCATTATTATGGTAGAACTACTTTAAAATCACTAGAAGATAAACACGTTTTTTTTTTTTATTGCAGCTGCAACGACATCACGGACGTGATGGACAGCACAACGTTCACCGTGGAGCACGACAGGTTCGGGGTCCTGCAGCGGAAAGAGCTCAAACCGGGAGGCTCGAAAATATTCCTCACTGAAGACAACAAAAAAGAATACGTTAAACTTTACGTCAATTTCCGCTTCATGCAGGTATGTGCTTTTACAAGTATTTAAATACTTCTGTTGATGCAATAAAGTTATGTGTGAACTAGTGGTAGGGCACTGCTAGAAATTTAGCCTGTTCCTTTTGGCTAATTTAATTTTTGTCAAGGAAAAACTCGAATATTATAAAAACTTGCTATTAATACGTTCATTGTCGCATTCTGGCGCCGTTTTTTTATATGATTTTTTGAAGCTTGAAAATAAATAAGGGTGTGCATTATAATGGGTGGGGTACAGCTGCCGTGTTGAATGTTATCTATGTTATCTCTGTACACAGGGCATTGAGAGCCAGTTTTGAAGCTTGTTTCTTCAATGTTATCTCTGTACACAGGGCATCAAGTGCCAGTTTGAAGCCCCCTTCTTCAATGTTATCTCTGTACACAGGGCATCGAGCGCCAGTTCTGAAGCTTGCTTCTTCAATCTTATCTCTGTACACAGGGCATCGAGCGCCAATTCAATGTTATCTCTGTACACAGGGCATCGAGCGCCAGTTCTGAAGCTTCCTTCTTCAATGTTATCTCTGTACACAGGGCATCGAGCGCCAGTTCACGATACTGCAGAAGGGCTTCACGGAGCTGGTATCTCAGGAGCTGTTGGCGCCTTTTGACGAGCGGGAACTTGAGCTAATCATCGGTGGACTCGGCAAGATTGACGTCGAGGACTGGAAAGCTAACACCAGACTAAAGGTTCGTTGTTGGCAACAGTTCACCAATATCGACTAATTTAATAAAGTTGGCTTAACTGGAAAAATTAAACCATCAAATTTTTTAAGCGAGGTTGTCTAACTAATTGCTGTTGACTGGAAAATACAACAACAATAGAACTTCAACGACTCCTTGTACTTGCTTGACAATACTGTTATATACAAATAAAAATCATAGCAGTCTTAGTTCATATTATCACATTCCTTCTCTACTATATTATACTACGTCTGTTCTGAATGCTTCAATAACACTTCTGAAGCTTTAGTAACCACAAAACCTGCCCTTATTTCCAAGATCTTCTTCCATGTTCAATTAACCTCTTTTCTTGCTCGGCAACCTTCATTCTTTATGCTTGACTTAACTTTCATTATTTATTTACCTACATATTCAGTTTAAGCTCTTTATTTTCTTATGCAGTTATTTCAATCGCTTTTCGTTGAATGATTACCAATCTTGACAAAATAACTCCAGCAATTTGTGGATTTAACGATAGACCCCTCTTCGAATTCCGTTGCCTATTGTTATTGTGTGTACCAAACCATGATTTAGAGTTTGTCCCGTTGCAGCACTGCACCGCAGACACCCCCATCGTGATCTGTTGTCATAGTGTGTACCAAATCTTGACTAGAGTTTTTCCCGTTGCAGCACTGCACCGCAGACACCCCCATCGTGATCTGTTGTCATAGTGTGTACCAAATCTTGACTAGAGTTTTTCCCGTTGTAGCACTGCACCGCAGACACCCCCATCGTGATCTGGTTCTGGCAGATCGTCGAGCGCTACACCGAGGAGATGAGAGCCCGTCTACTGCAGTTCGTCACAGGCTCTTCTCGGTGAGCGTCTTCACACCTTAAAGCTTCAGCAATCAATTTATTCGATGCTGTGTTTTCTATGCCGCTATTTTTACTATCGACATTGTTACATTTAACACGCTGACTACGATTGCTTCATCTTGTACTATTATTTCATTTTTAGTACCGTTTTTAAACAAGTTTGCTAGACGGTCATTTTTTCCGGACAAATTCCGTGATTTATTTTTTCTCAATTGCGTTGGCCGGCTAAAATTTATGATAGCGGTACTTCCTAATTAAAGTTTAAATACTGCAAAAAGAAAATAAATGGAACTGGAAAAAAGAAAATAAATGGAATGGAATTATAGTGGAACCTACAAATAAAGTAGTATATTTTTAGTTATCGGTCTTTTTGGCCTTTTTTGTTCTCGGATTTGCCAATTTTAGGCAACCTGAATTATTTACCACTACGTCGTGGAGAAATACATTTCGTGGTACGCATATGTACCACTTCGTAGTCAACGTGTTAAAGAAAATTACTTGATTTCAAGTGTCAATTTTCTGACTCCTCTTTCTATAAGTTATTAAACGAAAGATAGTTATAGTTTTTGCAAACAAAGCTAATTGCATTTCGCTGAGGAATGGAGTTAAAAAATTCTCATTTGTTTTATTACCAGCATTCATCAAATAGGAGGCTTTTTCCTGTTGTTTCTTGATACCATTCCTGATGTACTATCCTGCTTTGAAGTGTCGTATTTGCCACTAATCTAATCTAATCGAATTGGGTACAGCGTTCCGCTGCAAGGGTTCAAAGCTCTACAGGGCTCCACTGGAGCTACAGGACCACGCTTGTTCACCATTCACCTCATTGATGCCAATAAAGGTAATATTTCACCTATTTTACAAAATTAATTATTACATACATTTTAAAATATAAATATATTTACTTGAATTTTATGTCGATGTTGCTAATTCACAAATGTACTTGCTTCCTGATACATGTTAATCGACTTTCTTTCTGATCTTGAAAACGTTTATTCATTTTTTGTGCAAATTCAAGTCATAGAATAGGTAGTTTTCTAAAATGACGATGAACTGTGCAGAAAACTTGCCGAAGGCCCACACGTGTTTCAATCGCATCGACATCCCTGCATACGAGAGCTTCTCGAAGATGTATGAGAAACTGACGCAGGCCGTCGAAGAAACCTGTGGCTTTGCTGTCGAATGATGCAATTATTTGGTCTTCACCTCGAGTTCTGCCAGTCTTTTTGTTGATTTTAAGGTCTTCCATCTGGATCTTGAGGTCTTCTGTATTGATCTAACTGTCTAGTTTTTTGGTCTTCCACCTTGATCTTGAAGTCTTCTGTATTTATCCTAGAGCCTCGAGTCGTGTTCGTCGAGTCCACTATGTACATCACAGGGTATCCATTCTGTTTTTCAGGGCCCTGGATCTTCAGAATTTTTACTTGAAATATTTATTAATTATAGTATACCCCAGTCTATCATTTAGTATGATCATTTCTATCATTCTATCGTCTGCTTTTGTTTTGCAATTTTGTTATCGTCACTGAACTTGAAACCATCAGCGTGATCTTCAAGTTTTTAATTTTTACGTTGGCAATGCTAGTGTTGATTTTAAGTTGGCCGTTTTGATTATAGGTATTTTCTTCATTGTTTTTAATAGCAGAGCATTTCTTACAATTTGCTTACCTTTTTCAAGACTCAATTTATTCCAGTATCTTCAGAAAGATTTTATCTTAAATTTCGTTTTCCGCATCATTTATGTTGAGTTTACTTCATGCCTACCTTCCGATAATTTTTTCAGCATTTTTTCGTGGATTCCGTATGAACTGACGATGATGTAGTGTGACTTAGATCTGATTTTTCTAGTTTGACATCTTTTTCTGGTGAAAAAGTCCTTTTTATGTTATGAAAGATGCTGTATGTGTTGATATTTCTTTATTAAGTGTTCCTTATTTAATAATGTGCACTCGCTGAATGCTTGATTTCTCTCAGTTGTGACCCGTCATTGACGCATGATTCTCATTCATACTCATGTTCCTTGTGACTGAAAATGTGCGTCGGTTAACGACGAACCTTTGCTGTGTTCAATATAACGAGATTCATGTATATACAGTGAATAAATGTTTCAGTTATTGAGACGATGATGTAATGAAAAATTGTTCTAATTTGAAAATGTTTTGAAGGTGGTATTATGTATATTATCTGACCAATCGACCGTAAAATTGCTTCAAAGTCTAATTATTTTCCATCTCTGTATTGATCTTGCCTGATTTCACGCTTTGGCTGATTTGTTTTCATTTGGAGGTACGTAGTAAAAATTTTCATCCATTGATTATAGTTTTATTGTAGCGGTGAGAACTTTTCCGCTTAACATTGATTCCGAATGAAGAATGACATTGTCATTCTTTTTGAATTTGCATGTGTTACGTTAGGATGTCAAATAAAGAAAGTCGCGTCTGGACTATACTTAATTTATGGTTGAACAAAACACTTGATGTCTGTAGAAAGACATTATCATGAATGGCTATTGAAGACTACGACCAATTGTCACCTTTTTATTAGGAACCTTGCGGACCTCTTGTTAACTTTGAAAACAGAGTTTGTGTCCATATCTATCCTGAAGCTTTGTCACTTGAAAGTTTATTGTCTGTTAACCTAACTAGAATCAGCAACAAATTTTAACAGTATATCGTTCGCTTCTGTTAATGGGATTTGCTTCCATGTGTTGTGGTTTAGTGGATGATTGTGGTAATCGATCTTCCTTCTATTGAATCTCGTGAATTCTGCTCCAGTTGCTCCAGTCGAACGGGATCAGACAATCATTCATTCTCCCAGTGGTGTCTTTATTCAACAGCCATGTGGTTCGCAATAATGCAAATGGCTAAATGGGAATCTGTGTGAATGTACAAGGTAGTAACTCGTGATGCACTAGTATTTTCCTGGTTTAGCCGTAGTGCGTTCCACTGCCACCCCTTGCATTTATCCTATAAGTGCTTCTTAATTTCTAAGCGTGTTGTGAACCCGCCATGTCATGCTTGTGAGCACCTGCCTCAGGTTGATGGACATTGCTGTCAGTTATGCAGTCGAGTTTCCCTCTAAAACTTCGCTTGCAGCAACAAGCATTAATTTTTAGTGGAGTGTTTAACCTAGTAGTGTTTCTGATCAATGTTTTACGCAAGTCAATGTATTATACCAACTCATATTGTGCCAAGCTTCTTCATGTGGAACGCTACTCTTAACACAACTTTTGTAGAAGTCAAATTTTCTTGACGCGGGATTTTTATACCAGAATGTATGTTGTAGTTGCGTATGCGCTGTGATGCGGCTTCTTGTTCTGACCATCTCCGTTTACCATAACATGCTCATCCCGTGCCTTTTTTTGGCTCAATTTATCGTTATATTCGTAATTGTGATGAACGTTGTAGCGAGTCAATTGTTTATGCTTCTTTCTCAATGTTAAAATTAATTATTACCATCGCTACTCTTTTATACACATGTCTTCTCACGCACCACTGATGTCAGATACTGATGAGCAAAGTTGCCCTAGAGTTTAAAATATATCCTGAGAATACTTCAAAACCTTACCCTAAATATTTCTGGCATTTCTCAGGTATACATGGAAACATCATATTGCACGAGCCGAAATTTAGAACACACGAGTTTTTCACATGTGCCCGCTTTTGTCTCTATTCTTTACTTTGAGTTAGCAAGGCTCGTATAAATTATCGCCATCTCCTCGCTCACTTTAACTTTCGTAGACTTAGATAAAATTGAAACTGTATTTAGGATTATCCAACTAAAGACTGATCATGGAAACGACATTCTGGTCGAAGATTTTTTTTTTTTTCAATGTCGCTTGCCCTTTTGTTGCATTTTCCTTGAAATATTTTAATTGACATGAGCTTATGTGCTATCAGTCAAGAATTAATTTAATATTTGTTGCTGTTTTAGAAAATTCAAGTTATTGACTTACAAAACTGTGTATCCCATAATTAATTTCAGTCGAGTATCTTCATTTGTAATCATTTTTATTTATTAGTCATTCCATGTGACGTAGAGCAAGTTATATCACTACGTGTTCCTTGAATATATTAAACTTAATTTCTAGCACCCGTGTTTCTCGCCATGATCTTCACGACTGTCCATTTATGTCTTTCTTAATTATTTTTCTATATATCTATGTACTCACCGTATATTTTAATCAGTGATTCGTCTGCGTATGAAGTTGAACTGTATTTGTGATACCTGGCGAAGTTTTCTCCAATGAAGAGCCAGGTTTTATTTTAAGTATGCAAGTGTTGTACATATCAGCCTGCCTATCCCGTGGGCTAGCCTCCCCTCCACTGCAGGAAAGTAGTCCCTGTGATGTGCGCATTTTTCTATCAGTGCTTATGGTATTACACTAGCCAGTCATTTCCGACTTGTTATTCTCCTCTACCATCAAACTTGAACATTTATACAGCCTACCTTACAACTATATTGGATCGGCGGATCTCGCTGAAGAAAATTGCCCATTCGTTTTGCTGGTGCCCTATAAAGCATAGTGCTTGTTCGGCCAGCTGAGCCAGCAGCTAAAAACTGCAGCACGACTTCATCGTAAAAATTTATAATGGAATAACCGCGCGGTCGCATGAAGCCCTAACTGTGGGTGCGAGTTTATTCTGCTATACTTGTTACGGTTGCGAAATTGTTCTCATCATAGATACGGAACTACGGTGATACAGTATTTTATGCAAAGTATTTGATGAACTCAAAATATTACTAGGTAGTACTCGAAATAAAATTGTGATCTTTGTCATATTTTTATCTTCCGTGTTGTTCCTGCTTTTTTGATTTCCTGGTTCCAACTTGAACAGACCTAACCAAACATATTTTCTAGAATTTAATTACGCAATGGAAAATATTTTATCCGGCTAGGCCTATTCATTAGGGGTCGGAGAACGCCTCTCTGTTAAAATAACCCACCGTGCACCACTACCCACGCTGTAGCTGCCTGGTGGCAAGCGTCTCGTAAAACCTTTGGCTGCGTAAACGTTGACGAAAACAGCGCGTGCCACGCATCATCGCCAACTGCAATGTGCTCAAAGTAATTTATTTTTCAGTGTGGCTTTGAGGGCTGACCTACATGCATATTTAACCATATATAAACCAATGACTACATTTGCGAAAAAAATATCGGGCGCATTGTTGAAAAAGTGTAACTACGGGTGTCGGGTATGTGATGTATTTTGGTATCCAACGGCTTACCTCGCGAGGGTTGCTACCGCTCTCACAACTAAGCTCCTGATATGAGGCGAAAAGTTGCGATCAGTTCATGTCGACATTCTTCGGACGTGGGAATAATCGTTCATATACGGCTGAGTTATTTTCAGTTAATTCTTAATACCGACTTCGGTTGTTATTTGTTTTATTCGTAATTGTTAGCCAATTGCTTCAGTTAATTGTTGGACAATTATTGTTCATTGCTTCAGTCCTTTCATTTCTATGTATGCTAGAGCCTTGTGAAAAATTGATTCACAGATCCACCAAAATAAATGGAAATATTTGGAAACCATACCGGTCTATAACCGGTATAGTTGTATATAAAACATGGTAAATATGCACATCTTTTGCCTTCACGATTGATGTTGTAGTTGGCCCCTAGTAAACTCTACTTCAATTGGTGACGGGTTCTTTCCTTTCATCTACGATTGACTAAGCACTATGCCGTACAGATGCTTGATATTAGATATTTCGGTCAGACAATGACTGTTCTATGCTCAAGATCTACCTACCGGGTAGCCCATTTCATAATTGAGCATTTAACACAATATGAAATTTCCTGAATTCCTAAAATTGAAAAAGAACTTTCAAAACAGGAAGAAAGAATTATTAATTTATAAAATAGATTGAGGTCGAGTTCTATCATATCAATTAGATTTATATACTAGGAATTTTTTCGTCCGAGTTAGTCGATAATAATGAATGGAACTAAGAGTGAGTTGATTTTCCCCATACAGACAAAATCTACAAGAAAACTCAAATTTATCTGTCACTTCGATTCATCTATGATTATTCATAGTCAGAAGCCAATATTCGAAACAATTACATGAATATGAATATACGAAACGTTATGGATACTCATAACGAACTTTCATTATTTAATACATATACATTTTATAAGCTAATATATTAAATTATTCAGAGGTTTTGTTATGAAGTTTTCAACTTGAATTGGTCCGGAATCTAATAAATGATGAGGATTGCCCTGACGCACTTCAGATGAGGTCATTGATTCCAAATTGCAACTGGAAATTCGAGATCGAATGTAACAACTTTTTCATGATAACTATTTAAATACAATAAAATAGTTATCCAACAGAGGTGATGTAACTTAATTTTTAACTTGAATTGTTCCGGAATCTATTATGCGGCGAGGCTAGCCTTGACGCACGTTGAATGACGTCATTGATAGCGATTTGCACCTGGAAGTTTAAGCCTAAATTTAGCAAATTTTTAGGATAAATGTTTCAAAACTATCAAAAATTCATTGCGCTCTTATTCTCATATAAAAAATGTTTTCATTATATTACAAAGAGCCAGCCTAAACTAAAATAAATTAGTACTTGGCACAGAGAAAGTTCTAGAACAAGCGGACAGTGGATTGATCGCAGCGCGCTCACCGGCAGCAAGTCTATCCACTTCGAAACGCTGTGCTGGGCGGACGTGTTTCACATTTGTCTGTGATATCATTTCCACCTCGAATAAGGTGAGTTATAGAAATATTTTCAAATGTTTTATTATGTACTATCCTTTCAACCAATGGTTCTTATTGTAATTTTTTATTTAATATTTAGCCGGTAGCTAGTTGTGACGCGTCACAACGAAAGCCGTATTACTATTAATTATCACTGCGACCACTGATAATCGAGCCAATCGATTTTAATGTGAAGTTTTATGTTCTTTTATCGCATTCTAGTAATCCCTTTATATGCTGATTGAGTATCCAATGTGCACTTGTGCGAAACATTAATTTATCGTTTGCTGTGGAATTTTGCCGCCATTGCGACTTGATATCCCGCCACGCCACGCGTTTTTCTAGACGATTCGGGCAGTTCCGCTATGGCCGCGTGGGTTGGCTCGAGTCCACGCACACTGATGTTACTCATCCAGTCATCCTTTCTGTGAATCATATCTCCCAGGAATTATTATATATTTTATGAATCATAATTTCTTCAAATCATTACTTTTCCTAATTAGGGCTATTACAATAATCGTTATGGCAATTTTCTTCTAAAATAATTTTTTTCTGGAATTGGCTTAGTTTTGTCGGTATTGCTTAAATTTCCTGTGGAAGTTCGTTAGCTTTTGAACTTCTGAAGAATGTTGGGGTCTTAGAGCTCAAATGCCTCGGAAGTGGCGGGTGAACGTAGGCTAATAAGAAAAGTACCTAGTATCCTGAATATGGTTTTCAAAACGTTAGAACTTAGTAGCACTTCTGTGTAGGTAGCTAGGTACTATATAGGTAGGTATTTGAAGTTTTTGAAGATGCATTATTGAATCTAAGTCTTGCTGTTAATTATTGAAGCAGATAATACATTTTATTGGTAACTGCATTTGATATTCTGTAATCCATATGTTTTAGAAAAATTTTTATTTAGAAACTAAAAATGAAAATTGTAATTAGGACAAGTTGCAAGAATAGGCTAGTTGATAATCAAGAAATGATTAATATAATGGCAATTAAATTATTAATTGAGGATTTTTCTAATCAAAAAATCTTTTATTCAGGAGGGCTAATGCATAAAAAATGCACATAGCATATGCATTTTATATTGTACCTAGCTTTAGTTATATATACCTATTTTCTGATTTCATTCTGCTGATATTTGCAAACTGATTGAGTAATCTTGCATGCATGGTAGCCTATGATGGCACTGATGTCTGATGGCAGGCTGGCTGGATACTTGAGTCTTGAGTTGATGTTGAAAATAGTGCAACTGTGCAAGCTCTTGAAAAAGTTTATTTTTGCTCTAACGGCGTGACTAACGCTTTGACTCCGATGGCTTCATCTTGTACCATTATTTCATTTTTTGTACTGTTTTTAAACAGGGTTGCCAGATGGTCATTTTTTCTGGACAAATTCAGTGATTTAGTTTTTCACAATTGCATTGGCTGGCTAAAATTTATGATAGAGGTACTTTTGAATTAAATTTCAAGCACTGCAAAAATAAAATGAATGGAATTTTAAAGCGGAACCTACAAATAAAGTAGTATATATTGAGTTGGCCTTTTTTGGTCTTTTTTTGTTTTCAGATTTGGCCGATTTTAGGCAACCTGAATTATGTAGTGTACCACTACGTCCTGGAAATACATTTTGTGGTATGCATATGTGCCACTTTGAAGTAAACCTGTTAGAAAAATATATTATAATGTTATATATATATATATATTTAACAGTCCTGTAATTTATTAGCTATATTCGGAGAAATAAAATTGAAGTAATGACCAAAAGCTCACAGTAACGAGTAAAGTGAGTGAAATTAAGAGTAGGCTCCATAGATTTGTCTTGTAACCCATACATATTGGCTCTTTCAGTAGGCTGAGATCATAACTTTCTGTACATACTTAACAAAGGCTGGTAGCCTGGTAGTATTTCTAGAATTATACTCTGTATAATTGTTGGCAGTTATGGAGATTTCTGTGAGCCATTGACGGTGTGACAGGAACGGAGAACTTGGTTAAGAATTTTTGTCCTCCAACTCGATGCATTTTTACCATTAAAGCATGCCGTTTTATAGGGGTACTTGTGTTATCCATTTTGATAAAAAATGAAATTATTTGAATTTAATATTTCGCTATTCTAATGGTATTTGCAGCCATCATTTTTAGCGAACTGTGATGGGTGGGACGCTAGAATTATGAAAACTGACGGCGATAGCGCACTGGTAATTTGGTAATTTCCACAGAAAATAATTTATGAACTAATAGAGACTTTTTTTACTTTCAGAAACGATGTCGAAAGCATCAGCAGTTGGTATTGATTTGGGCACGACCTACTCATGCGTGGGAGTGTTCCAGCATGGCAAGGTCGAGATCATCGCCAACGACCAGGGCAACCGCACGACGCCCTCATACGTCGCCTTCACCGACACAGAGCGTCTGATTGGTGATGCTGCCAAGAACCAAGTGGCCATGAACCCCACCAATACTGTCTTTGATGCCAAGCGGTTGATCGGTCGCAAGTTCGACGAACCTACCGTCCAGAGCGACATGAAACATTGGCCATTCACTGTTGTCAATGACGGCAGCAAACCGAAGATCTCCGTTGAGTACAAGGGTGAAACGAAAACTTTCACTCCTGAGGAGATCTCCTCAATGGTGCTCACCAAGATGAAGGAAACCGCTGATGCTTATTTGGGTGTTAACATTAAGGATGCCGTCATTACAGTGCCTGCCTACTTCAACGATTCTCAGCGACAAGCCACCAAGGATGCCGGCACAATTTCTGGCCTCAATGTCCTCCGTATTATCAATGAGCCTACAGCTGCAGCTATTGCCTATGGCCTTGATAAGAAGGTTGGTGGTGAACGAAACGTGCTGATTTTTGATCTGGGTGGCGGCACTTTCGACGTTTCAATTTTAACTATTGAAGACGGTATCTTCGAAGTGAAGTCCACTGCTGGTGATACCCATCTTGGTGGTGAGGATTTCGATAATAGGATGGTCAACCATTTCATGCAGGAATTCAAACGCAAGTACAAGAAAGATCTTGCGGAGAATAAGCGTTCCCTCAGACGGTTGAGGACTGCATGCGAGCGTGCCAAGCGTACCCTTTCTTCGTCTGCTCAGGCAAGCATCGAAATCGATTCCTTGTTCGACGGTATTGATTTTTACACATCAGTCACCCGCGCTCGATTCGAAGAATTGTGCGCTGATCTTTTCCGCGGCACCCTCGACCCCGTTGAAAAGTCACTCAGAGATGCGAAGCTCGACAAGGGTCAAATTCAAGAGATTGTTCTTGTTGGTGGCTCCACCCGCATCCCTAAAATCCAGAAGCTGTTGCAAGACTTCTTCAATGGTAAAGAGTTGAACAAGTCCATCAACCCTGATGAGGCTGTTGCTTATGGCGCCGCCGTCCAGGCTGCCATTCTCAGTGGTGACAAGTCCGAGGCTGTCCAGGATCTGCTTCTTCTCGATGTTGCCCCATTGTCAATGGGTATTGAAACAGCTGGAGGCGTCATGACTGCTCTCATCAAGCGTAACACTACCATTCCTACTAAGCAGACTCAAACTTTCACCACCTACTCCGACAACCAGCCCGGTGTGCTCATCCAGGTTTACGAAGGCGAGCGCGCCATGACCAAAGACAACAACCTCCTCGGCAAGTTCGAGCTCACAGGCATCCCTCCTGCCCCTCGGGGCGTGCCTCAAATTGAAGTCACGTTTGATATCGACGCCAATGGCATCTTGAACGTGTCTGCTGTCGACAAGTCCACCGGCAAGGAGAACAAGATCACCATTACTAACGATAAGGGTAGACTTAGCAAAGAGGAGATTGAGCGCATGGTGCAGGATGCCGAGAAGTACAAGAATGACGACGATAACCAGCGCGAGCGTATCTCCGCCAAGAACGGCCTGGAGTCTTACTGCTTCAACATGAAGTCGACCGTCGAAGATGACAAGGTCAAGGATAAGATTTCTGAAGAGGACCGCAAGAAGATCATGGAAGCCTGCGATGAAGCCATCAAATGGCTGGACGGTAACCAGTTGGCCGAGAAGGAAGAATATGAACATAAGCAGAAGGACATTGAGAAGGTCTGCACTCCCATTATCACGAAGTTGTACGGCGGTGCTGCCGGGGGCATGCCTCCTGGTGCAGCTGGCGCTGGTGCTCCTCCTCCAGGTGCTGGAGCTGGTGGCCCCACCATTGAGGAAGTCGATTAATTATTATTCCGCCTTTTTAATGTCAGCAATGCTTCCAATTGTAGATTGTCAATTGTTTAGCTTCATTTTCCATCTGCACAGTTTTAACATTGCATTAATGGGCAAAGATACTTTCATTTTTACTACGGAAGCTAATTTTTCATTCATTAAAATACCAGTTGAATTTTGGCGTCTTATTCTCCCTCATTAGATATTTCAGAGGATAAATAATTCCGTCCTCAACTAGAGTTTCTGATTAAAATCGACCTCGCCTAGAAGATCAGAGGTTTGCTGAACGTTGCTGAAGAAAATGGAAAACGTCGTTCTCCTTAATGGGAATCTAATCGAAGCGATGGAAGTCTATTGATAGCCGTGACTGATGCTACAGCTCGTATACAGGTTGCAGAATCCTACGTGACCTCGATACTGACTAAAATCGTAATGCCTACGTTTTGGCATTTGTAGTTTGTCAAAATTTGTTGCAGTATCTGCGTTTACTTGAAAAAAAGGTATTGCAGATACACTTGCGATTCGAAATAATTTTCTCAAAGTGTACCGGGACGAGACAAGAAATTTCCGGGACAGAAGGTAAAATTTGTCCCGGAATAAATGTATGAATCTTGACAAGACTTGTGTTCCGTACCCGGCTATTATGAAACGAGACGAGTAAAAATGAAGAGAATTTACGTAACAAGACAAGACATACCCTGGATTTTCGAGACAAAACCGAGCGAGCGGCATATTATTAGCTCCTGATTGTTAATGAGCAGTTGTCGGTCATTTGCAGATGTGGCGAAATTTAACTGCCAAACTTATTTGGGCAGATTAGGCGATGTTTGGCTAAATATTGAGTGAATTATGTCACTGTCTAGGCTTTAACCGCGCCTTACGCTATGAATGTGCGAGTTCAAGGCCTTTTTATGACACGATTTTAGATCTTCTGTGAACAAGGCACGAAAAGGAAAAGAATCGGCGACAGGCCACATCCCGGCGCGCAAAAACAATCTTAATTGCCGAGCCCAAGATCGGAATTGTCATTGAATGCGTCTCCAGTTATTGTACATGTTTGTAAACTAAAAACAAAGTCTACATCCCATCATTAAGTGGTTCGTCTTGTTATATAAGATATAAATTCCGGGAAATTTTAAACCTCCTATTTAACCGGGACGTCTCGCCTCGATATCGTCCCGGAATTCCCACTGAGGGCTGAAAGTTGTTCTGGTTTTTATTGCGAACCGGGACAAAGCTTCTTGTCTCGTCTCGATTGGGAAAAAATTCCAAAACGCTGGAGTCTATAAATAATGCTCAAGGTTTCAGTAGTAGATGAGCCTGTCATTTTTAAATAACTTTCAATTTTCTGCTCAGTTACGTAATTTAAAACAATTCATTGCTTGGGAACTCGCGTAGAGTTCGTTATTATTAGTGACAGTACGTGCGTACCCTACTGTTCCAATCTGCGTGCATATGTAGATAACCTTCCAGAAATGCATGCACTCGCTTGATTTCGAACTCTACGATTGATAATTATTTTAAATTGCCTGACGCGCAGCCGTTGTAGGTGATATTGAGTTTAACTGTAACTAGCACGAGAAAATTTTGGCTAAGATGACTTCTCGTAAACTTGTTAAAGTAGCTGGCATGTCAACGTTTGAACGTTTATTTTGAACTATACTTTTTAATGATACACGCTCTTTAATTCCTTAATGAAATCCGCAATGAATTTTATTTCACAGTCCTAAAGTATTATTTAAACGAAAACAAGCTAAACCAACAGAAGTCAACCTGAGATAGGACATTTTGTGTACGGTAACCATTCTGTTGTCATCGATTCAAGAGGAATAGATGATGCGAGAAATATGATCTGGGCAGAAGAAATAGATTCCTTCATACTTGGGCGACCTCGTCGTAGGCTCAGTTTCATTGCTCCCCATGACTGATATAAACTGAAGAAAATTATTAAATCTGAGAATCAAGAAGTGACGACGTTCGGCTAGTATAGAATTAGTTTAAAAACCCTTCGTTGAGTGTAAGTTATATTGCATGAACTTTTACTACACAGACTTTTGATTTCATCGCTCATTTTGCGCTTTCCGATTAATTTGGCCCTAACGAGGTTGGCGTTCGTTCAGCAAGTAGTTTTCGTCAGCAAGTAGTTTCGAGCGCATCGGCTGCAATATCGAATTTGTCTTGCCAGCTTGAACTTATGTCCTGAATTTCGTACTGCTGAATCTACAATACGCCTCCATGCCACAATTTAATAGCCGGTGTACCATATACAATTGTGCAATTAACTTGGTCATCGTGCGCTCGCACTCAAACACCTTGTAAATAGAAATCGTAAAGTATTATGGAACCATAGAAGCGAAGCCATGTGATCATGTGGGCTCTTTAGAGAGTTCTTTAGAGTACACAATAACCTGAGTGTAAGTGTGTGATCCGGTCATGAGATGTCTTTCATTCTAGGTTGATAATGGGAATGAAAGCTAGTATAGTTGCGTCAAGTTCGACGTGAGTTGTCGATACACAGCGGCATACGAGGTGGCATCGAGAAGATGAGCTGCTTTCACTTTGTGATCGGTTCCTACTCCCTGTGGCATCTTTAAACATCATTTAATGCTTTCATTATTAAACAGTCTTTAATATAAGTATTCTGATCCATACTACGGATAGGTCTTCGAGTAGATTCTGTTTTTTTTCGAATTCCAGATTGAGCCTCTACGAGAATAATTTCTTTAAATCGTCCGCCAGCCAATCGGTGATACGGACGTATTTGTCAACTGCCACGATGGACGTGTTAACCAAATCTGGCGATGGAAGGGTGTAAAGTGTAAACTGTAAAACAATGTTCAGTGAGAGAATTTATCGCTAGGGTCTTGTGGACGAGGTTAATATCACTTCCCGAAAAACTGATCGCGGTTTCTCAAACGATTTTTGGTTTTAGTAATTCAACTTATTTATTAACACACGATATTCGTGAATAAATTATTCGTTTTTCATGTTGTGAAGTCTTTCATGTTGTGAAGTCTCAGTTTCAGCTGCGGCTCTTACATGATAGACGCCATTTTGTGGTGGAAATATTTAAATAACCCCAGATAAAACATTAAATTGCAAGGTTCATTTATTTTATTACAAAACTTCTTTCTCTATGTTAAACCACAGACGACCACAGCTTCGTTTGCCTCATTCAGTATCAAGTCATCGAGTCTTAACAGGAACGGTGACGGCCTCCATTCTTGATGTTCTTTCTTATTTAGGAGTTTAACAATCGCCTTAGCTTTGTGGACTCAATCGTCGATAAATGCATTTGCTAGCTCGTTGATAATCCTGAGGCGACTGCAGCGGTTGGCTCGTTGATAATCCTGAGGACGTTGAGGGCTTGAGGCCAGCAATGGCGCCAGCATCCTTGGTTGCTTGGCGTTGAGAGTCGTTGAAGTATGCAGGTACGGTAATTACTGCGTCTTTTACAGCCCCTCCCAGGTAGGCTTCGGCGATTTCTTTCATCTTAGTTAACACCATAGAAGAAATTTCTTCGGGAGAAAATGTTTTCATCTCTTCTTTGAATTCGACCTGCAATTTTGGTTTGCCGCTGTCATTGACCGTCCAACGTACAACGTTACATCCGACGACGACTCGGAGACGGAGGACGACGAAGGCGGCGCATCAGCGTGACCTTGGACTACGACGTCCTAAACTCATCATAAGGTCATAAGGTGACCACTTTGAAGGGCCAGTGTTTCATGTCACCGGCAACTGTTGGGTCATCAAACCTTCTCCCAATCAGTCGTTTGGCGTCAAAAATCGTGTTGACAGGATTGAGAGCGACTTGATTCTTGGCAGCATCACCAATCAGACGCTCGGTGTCGGTGCAGGCGACGTACGAAGGAGTTGTCCTGTTGCCCTGGGCCCATACTTTCAAAAAAAGTTAAGAGATCGTAAGTTCATCAGCCAATCATTGACGGCCTTTCAAGCAAAATACACCAATCATAGACAAGAAAATAGAGCGTAAGTACTTACGTTCACTTAGCGAGTTTTGAAAGTATAGGCCCTGGTCGTTGGCGATGATCTCGACCTTGCCATGCTGGAACACACTCACGCACGAGTAGTTCGTGCCCAGGTCAATGCACATTGCAGATGCCCCCATAACCTTCGACTGGCCTGTTAGCCACATTCAAAAGAGATTACTTGATGTCTGAGCTTATCCGTTTACGAGGGTACTTATAGTTAAAATTTCGAGACTACATTTAAAAGGAAATATAGGGAGGTATTGAGAATGGTACTTACTGAAAGAGAATGATACTTACTGATCCAAATAAATTTTTATTCGTATAATTTGATTTGCATTGTGCATGCTTTAATGCTCAGGAACAAGCTCAATTAAGTTTGACACATGTTGCCTCCTCTGATGGAGGCCTTGAATTTGCCAAGGAAGTACTCTGCAGTAAATTTTGCACAAAATATTATAAGAAAGACACGCTGAGAGTAAGTTGAGTAATAAAAAGTGTCGATATATGTTGGTGGCTACTTTGACGGTTAAATAATAATAAATTGAGGGAGGAAAATGAAATTTCCTTCCCATGAAGGTATCCTGATGCTACAACATTCTCTCTTTTAAAAACAGACTCCAGCATTTCCCATGCACCTATCTCGAGGCTACATTTATTAGGCGGATATTTTGGCGAATGAAATTCATACCTATCTGTGTTGAAGCTTTATAATTTATGGCTTTTGGACGCTAACAAAATTTAAGAAGTAGAAGTTCCGGCTGTTTTGTAATGCTATGAGGAAATAAACACTTGTATTATTTATGCATTATTTCTTGCAGTTTTTTCGCCATGCATGATCCCCCCTCCTTTTTTTACACTCCTTTCATTGTGTATGACGCTGCTTGTTGAAATGTTCATGTTTTTGGATTGTCCCTTTAATTGTGCGCGTCGTATAAAAAAAACAGAATGGCTAATAAGTACTTTCTTCACAAAAGCTGATGTCTCGATAGATGATATATAAAACGGGAGAATTTTCAGCTAAACACAAACACAAGATATAAGAGCTAATCAGGAATGCAATAAATATGCCAGAGGACGAGCATCACAATCAGTGAAAGTATGCATGGGTGTTGGGATCGTTGTGTTGCTCACCAGCCTTGGAGGACGCAGCAACGCTCATGTTTGTTTAGTGCTTATATTT